CCGCCGGCCTGGGGTGGGGGTCTGGGGGAGCACCGATAAATCAGAGTCGTCTTGGCCATAGCTTTCCAGCCGTATCCATCTGCGACTATGAGAGCTATCTCATTGCAAAACCAACAAGTGCCAAGGACCCCCGTAACTCTGCAGCATTCGAGTAGCATGTGCTTTGACTGTTTGAGTCGGTCGGAATCGAGACTATACAGCGGCTTCACAGCACAGAGTTCATAGTCATACACTTGACACTTGTTGTGACAATTTTCATACGTATAAACTTTTCAGGTCTCCATTTTCGGTCTAAGAAAGCAAGATATCGGGCCTGGGTCGTATACTTCCTACATACGTATTCGCAAAAAAGAGGCGCCGCTCATCTTCCAAAGCGCCCACGACATCACGGGCCAGGGGCGATCCGCGGGTGACTTGCGCATCCCCATCTTCCGTACACTGGTGTCTCGGGAAGAAAGCTTTCAGACGTCATTATGGTCAAAATTGAAGGATTCCTACTGGCCCGACACCGTCGACGATAGGCAAGTACGCAAATCGCAACCTACCACTCCCGAGGGGAAAATGTTTGGCTCCAAGAAGAGGAACGCTTGTTGTTGTTGTCGTTGACTGATGTTGCGCAAGTATTACATCCACACCGCACACAGTACACTAGTACGAATACAGCTGTACCAGCACTCATCTCACCGAGTATTAGTCCTCGTAAGCTGTTGCACACTACAATGGGGTGGTAGGCGTGCTCTTCTTGGCACCCCTCTGTAGTTTGAACTCAGATGGCCGCGGGAGCTCTTACTATGACAAAGCTCAGAGGATTTGGGTGGGCTGCTCTGGAAGAGGAGGAGGAGAACAGTAAGAAGGTTTCAAGCGGCACATCCATGTCATCATCTGTGGGGTGTCTCTTGGTCCTCTTACCAACTCAACAGTCATTGTGCCCCAACAAGATTACAGTTCGACACCCCTTTTGTTACTTTGGCGGAAGGTAAGATTAGGAACTGGGAAGCTGGAATGGATAGAAAACGAATAGCATATATCCAATGTGAGCACAGCATATAATGTAGATGAGACGACTATAGCAACTCTATAAGCAACCAAGTCTGACATACGGTTCAATACATATACATACGAAGCTACCGAGAACGACAAACCCGGCAAACAAACCATCACCGACAGCCAATGTGTAGAAGGAGCTGTGAATCCCTTCGTAGTCGACATGTGGACCGTACTTCAACCAGGGTCTCCCCAGAGCCCGACGGCGGCATCATCCGCCTGCACGCCCCTCCGGCCTGCCGACGCGTTTCTTGCATCTTACTGCTGAGGCGTCTCTTTCCACTTCGCCGATCTCAAATCATTCTCACCGACACAATAAGCCCCACCCGTCTACCCCAGAGGCGAAAGTCCCATCGCCGCCACCATTTACTCCCCTCGCAACCTCAGAATGCCTCCCCCCGGCCCGTCTCCTGGATCCACTACGCCGGCCTCCCTCTCCCATTTTGCCATATTCAACCCCAACCTCAAGCCTTCCGAGATTCATAGGAATCACAACGAAGAAGAGAGAGATAGAGATGATGAGGATGATCAGAGGGAGGCAGCACAGATCTTATTCTATACTGCGAGAGAGGGTGGAGGGGTTAGTCGGAATACGATGCTAAGGCAGGTAGGACTGGCAAAGGGTTTGATGGCGTTTGGAGAGTGGGTCGGCCCCTAGCATAGGCAATGGCTCCATGCTAATAGAGGACTGCAGTATGGTAGCGAAAGAAGACGCCAAGTTCTGGTCAATACGCTCGCACAAACAACGTTTAATAATCTACACCCCAGAGCCCGACTTCTACATCTACATCGTGAGTTGGACATCAATCAAGTCTGTACTGATCATAAGCAGTGCATTCAACTGGCGAACATAGGCGAAAACAATGACCCCGCTCCAGCTGCTCAGGGTCTGTCAGACCAATTACTGGTCTCTGGTTTGACTAGAGGGTATGAAGACTTTCGCGTAAGTCCTCCTTGCTTGTCCTTCCCTTTCCCTTAGATCACTCACCTCTATCCAAGCTTCTCCACGGCACCTTGTCATCTCACACCCCCCTGACACCCTCCACTTCCTTTACAGTCGACAAATTCTTCACTCGCTTCGCCTTTGAATACGAAGCCTCTCACGTTTCGGAGTCACCCTCGATGAGAAAGTGGTTGGGTGGGTTCCCTCTTGTGCATGTGTCTCTTGACGATACTGTAAACACATTCAAGAAGGAGTGGGGTGAGGAGTACCCGGTTTTGATAATCGGCAAAGATGGCCCTCTACATACCAATTCCGAGATCAACGACCTCCCTCTCCTCCGCCACCTGACTCATCTCGTTCAACTCTCTCTACCCCCTCCACCCCCACTTCCCGTATCCTCGAAGGCCTCCAAAACCGAGCAAACCAGCTCTCTCGGCTTTGGCCTCCTCAGTCTAGGAGCAGGCAAGAAGAAAGCACCAAACGATTTGGAGAAGGGACGGAAGGCTAGTTGGCCGAGTTTGGGCTGGGTGCCAGACTTGCGTCGGGTTTCCTCACCTTCTCTGCCTTCTTTCCCAGCACTGTACAACACTTCGCTTCCTCAGCCTCATGCAGCCCTCCCGCCTGTATCTGAAGCGGGGAAAGGGGCAGATGTGGGGAAAGACAAGAAGAATTGGGACTTTGGCCTGGGCGCTATAGGCGACGCGGTGGGGAATGTGGGGAATGTTTTCGGGCTTCCGGCGCTACCTGGAAAGGGGACCAAGCCTGCTTCCGGCACAAAGTCTGAGGCGACACAGGAGATCTCCGAAGCTGCCTCGGAGGGCACCGAGCGCGACGTCAGTGCGACCATCGTCCCTTCTCTGCCATCCGAAACTTCTGAGACTCCCGAACCAGCCCCAGAAGTGCCAGACACGATCGTTCCGCAAGTCGTCAAAGAGCTGGATGAAGCTGAGAGAGAAGAAGACCCCCAAAGGCAAGTAGAAGCAGGCGACGTTTCCCTTCCTGAACTAGCAGAAGCCGTCCAAGCGGATGAAGAGATGGAGTGGGATGATCGGTCGGTATGGATTACCGTCCATTCTGCAAAAGAAAGAAGCGAGCATGCAGAGGAAGCGGGAGGTGGGCTGGAAGAGAGGAGACTGTACTGGATCATTGTAAGTACTGCATTTGCTTCTGATGCAGCTGCTGATGTGGGTATAGCGTGACACAATCCTGATAGCCATCGTTCTCCCCACAAATCTCGAAAAACCATACCTCAAAAAACCATACTCTCTCCCACCCAGTGTCCTTACGCTTAAGCTCGTCGCTTCGATCTCCTCTCTCATGCGGCCTCCACCAGAAAAGGGCATCAAATCTGAGAAGGGAAAGGAAAAAGAAGGGGCGTGGGTGTATCGGAGGGGTGACCAGATGCAGGAAGAAGGCGAGATACCTAAAGATCTCGAAAAGACTTTTGCCAACTTCCGTGGGACTTTTGCCAGGTGCGCTTTCTGTCCACAGTCTCTCTCCCTCGTTCGCTCACGGTGCATCTCATAGATCACCAGACATTAACGAAATCATGGGCAAGACCGCTTCGTCCAGGTTCGTGGTAGCAAAAAGGAATCAAGAGAGTGAGATGTATCTGGCTTGTGCGCCAGCGGACGGGAGTCTTACGGATGCAGAACGTGAGTCTCTTTTCTCTTGATGACTAGCAAAGAGAGGTCCAGGAATGTTGGCTGATGAGTTAGTATGTAGAGTCTCTCCGAGCGATAGTAAGAGCTCATCCTGAGATTGAAATCTAATGAGAATGGCCGCCGGGGGGCGCAAAGTGTATTAATGTTGTACTATTCTTTCTACCAGCTCTATAATCATGAAGTTATCTGCGTTCTACGCTACATGCGACCATTGATAAGCGTTTCACAGGAAAGGACAGATGCCGGCGTCGCATGTGGCGCAGCGGAAACACCACTTTATTTCCTCTTTTTCCCTCTTTCCCCGCCTAGCCTTCAGAATGCTCAAACCACTTATCTTCACAATCATTCTTTGAGCCTACTTTACCTAAGGAATACTCCTCGGCCACTCTAGAGTAGACCCCGACCAGCCTCGACCGGAACCAAACAACAGCTATTAGCAGCACCCAGATAATGGTCTTGAACAGCATCCTGCACAGGGGCTCCTCCTCTGGTAAGCCCAACATCACCTTGTCCTCCAGGTATAAGCAGCTGACATTGAAACAATAGAATCCAAATGCCCTTTGTTCGGCAAGTCCCGGTCGACCTCATTCTGTCCAACTTTCCCGCCTCTTTACCCAAAGCCACTGAACGCCTCCGTCAACTTTGCTCTCCAATGCTGTCCCAGCCCATTGGACATCAAAGCCATCGTCCTCGGTCGTGTTTTCTTTGACCTCACCTCTCGATTCGATTGCGGGCTGAGTATACAAGTCGGGTGCGGGTTGGTGGAGAGCAACTTCACCGCGGCCAAAGGTGGGCCAGGGCAAGTGAGGGCCTGTGATGTTGTCCATTACCGGATCATACAGAGGTTTCTCGCTTTGACCATGCTGGCTCTCCTGGAGCGCCTTCCCCGGCCCCGATCGGAAGGAGAAGCGGTGAACCTCCTGTGCCAGGTCCGGGGCCTGATGAAAGGCGTATGGGCGGATATCGACCAGGCTTTCAACAATTCCTCTTCCATGCGCGCTTTTGAGACCATCTTTCTTCCATTCCATGACGACAGGGCTGGTTTCAAACTCGCTCTAAATAGCCTGAGGCAGGATATCTTGTCCGATGAATGGGAGCCGGTACTGAGGATGGGGGCGGGAATGTTGAAGGTGCAGATGATTGTGCATAGTTGCAATGGAGAGCGGAGAAAGTCTTATCAGCGGTTGGCGGGAAAGATGGTCTGTGGACACTTGACGGATAAGAGGAGCCCCTTGTCCGAGATCGAGAGAGGAAGGGTGGAAGAGCAGCTACGGGTCAATATTGATTGTACACCTAGTTTGGAATCTCCGTGTTGTGGGCGATACTTTAGAGACTGAGACACATGGGAGCAGTGCGTGAACATGTATACATCTATCTACATCGTGAGGAGCATACGAACAACGTTATCCTAGCGCCAGCGCCGAAAAGTGTCTAACCGAGTACTATTTGTTGTGCCAGAGCAGCGTCTTTAAACTTGTCCAAGTCTCGGAATCTCTGTACAAGTATCCTGCAAGGCTATGAGCTGACATCCTACTTTCAGGAAACAGTACTCACTCATACTATTGCTCAGTCCCGGCTGCATCCTCTCTCCACGGTGTCTAAACATGTACATCGCCACCGCCCAACTCAGCGTCGCTACGATCGTGAACGGAACCTGCGCCGGCGGGATGGGTTTAGGGTTGCCCGCTGGTGAGGTGATAGATGGGAGAGGGTGAGACAGGGGCTGGAAGGGGTGAGAGGGAGGTGTTGACTGAGAGTATAGACGGGGGAGTAGGGCGAGTATGTTGCGGCCGAGGACGTAGAGGACAATTTGCTCGTTGATCTGCCGGGTATCAGTGATGGCGTCGGCGTTGTGCGAAAGATACGCACGGGCGTCCTATCACCAAAGACCCAGTACCCTCCGAGCCCCCCGGCCACAAGCGTATCGAGATTTCTCTCTTTGCCTCCATTGAGCTTCTTTTGCAAGAGCAGGAGTGTTTTGTAGATGGTCACGAATTTGCAGAGATTGAGAGCGTGGGTCTTGGTCGCCGTGAAGATGCCACGAATCTTGGCGGGGAGACTATCGGAGAATATACATGATGAGCGCTCCGAGAGATACAGAGAGTGGGGGAGAGCTTACGGTTTGTGGGAAAAGAGAAAGGTCATGACCAGAGCGTGGGGGAAGCCTAGGGGCTGTCAGTGGTATGCCGGAAGGCTCTTCATTGTCAGTTGCGTACGGATCTTGCAGCCGTATACAAGCCCATTTCTAGCACCCTTGAGAATGGCCAGCAGGTCGTGGTTTGCTGGGCTGCACGAGGTGATCAGAAGACTGGGAGGGCATGGTGGATCCTAGGGACGTACTCGAGGAGGAATCGCTGGAGGGCCGACATGGTGGGCTATGGGAGATGAGAGGCAAACCGAGATGTAGATGGAAACGTGGGGTGCTTTATAGATTGCAATAGGAGATAAGCGCAAGTACACAATCTGGTAACATACACAAACTGCGCGACACCTTTCGGCAAATCAACGGGTTCCTTAGCCGAACCCGTGACATCACCACTTCCATCTTCTCTTCCACCGTCTTTCCCGGAGCATGCTCTCTGGTTGCATAGAGACATATACAGCATCAGAGACGGCATATGGTCAGGATGATAAATGATGTTATGATTATTGATGCACTTGTTTTGGTCACCTGGCCCTTGAAAGATCTAAGGTGTGTTCAGGATAAGTACCACTACAAGACCCCCCCCCCCCCCCCCCCGTGTGCATGGGTTTACCTGTTCCGCACACGTTTCCATATATGCATCTATATCCTTCGCGGTACCTTCCCATTACGCAAAGACATTCGTGTATATTCGCTTGATCCGGACAGGAGCTTCTGTCGCCTGCTCCATCTCCCGCGCCACGAACCTCTTCCCAATCTGCACCTGTTTCCCAGCATATTTCTTGACCATAGGGAGCCCCCAGAAATCGGATGCGATACAGTCAAAGTGTTGCCTATCTACGCATGCCCAAGAACGGATGTAAAACCCGGGCTCCAAAAGCTGCTCCAAGCACTTTGCGAGATCGTACACCATCCACCCAAGGACGGACTTCATGTCAATGAGCCGCCTCTGGCCCTCTGCCTTACTATCCACCATCGTCCCATCATGCCCAAAGAATCCGTCGATGCCTTGTTGTAACAACAATCTGGCAATGTGGTAGATGAGGTAGATTCTTCTGCTTGGTGGTGGCATGGTAGTTGGGGTATCGTCTTCCAATGAGATGTTGCGGGAGGGAGGGTAGGCTGAAGGGGTGAGTCCAACGCCGTAAGAGGCACAGAGGCGGAATGTCCCGGGCCGGAGGCCGCTGGTGAGATACGTGTGCGTGAACAGGTGGAGGGTCGGGCCTCTCATGGAGGTATATCTATAGGTCATAGGTGGGTATTTTGTGTGACTCGGTTCCAGAGTAGGGGTAGGGGATTGATTGGACTGAAGGTGGGAAGCTGTGGAAGTAGAACCATGCGCCGAGGAGGCGGAAGAAGAGGTGCAGGTTTCGGAATCGCAAGAGGAAACGTCATCTGCGTCGTCTGTTTCATCGTCCGATGGCGATGAGCAGCATTCACGACCAACTGCACGGTGAAGCGCGGTCAGAATCATGGATGTCTGAGAGGATGTGAAGGGCCGTCACTTACGATCTTCGACCATATAACGATTCAAATCTCCGGGGTCCAAAGCTAATATCATGGCTGGCGGTTGTGGTGATGATCGGAGCTGTGACGATTTTCGAGGGGATTGTATAGTTTCTGTTGAAGAATTGGCCTGAAGTATGAACGGCGAAAGGTTCTTCAGTGCCGAGTGTGGAAGAGAAGATAACTGTTGAAGGGCAGGGAATGGTATCAACGGAACCGGCGAAGTCGTGCGTGGGCATCTTTCCACATTCTGGCGGAAAGATGGTCGTTTCCGCGGTTACTGTACTGAATGAGCTCGCAAATCTCTGATACTTCAGCTATCCCCCAATCCTTTTGAAAAACCACTTCCAGAGCCTTGTGGTAGCACAACATATCCCCATGGTCTCCTAGACGCTTCTTGCCTTTTCATCAGGATGACGCAAGCCTTCATGTCCATCGTGTCCAAGAATGGCGTGTCGATCATCAGCTGGGGGTCCATAGCTAGTCCTTTCGAAAATCTCAAGCATGGATAGACTCGCTGTCGGTCCGACTGAGGCGTGCTGCAACTAAAGATTGCGTTGTGTTTGGAGCAGATGCTCTCGAGTCGTCTTGACGACCACGAAAGCGAAGATACCGCCGGAGATAAACACGTTTACGTAAGCCACACAACGTCCCGAAATATCCCCACCAGAATGACAAGGTGGCGCTAGAGGAGGACAAGGCAAGTGGGTGGCGGGGGCCAGGGGGACAGGGGGGCGAGGGTGTGCATGGACATGGGAGAAGGCGAGTAGGGGACTGTGGACAGCATGCAGCGACTCAGATGGCTTGTAATGGGATTAGAAACGGGGCCAGATGACGGGACAGCATTAGAGTTCCTGGCTTGTGCGTCATTGCAAGAAGAAGAACGATCGTTTTGTTTCCGTTCTCTCATCACAATCATCCATCATGGCCCCTAGAAAGAACAAGGAAGCCGCCTCCTGGGAAGTCAACAAGGACAAGCCCAAGCCCCAGGGCGAGACCCGTGCAAGGAGGGCATACTGCGTCAAGGAGCTCGTCACCGGTACGTCCCTCTCGTCTCCAACACACGCGCTGACGTCTGTTCAGAGCCTGCCCCTGGTGTCACCACCGTCCACGACCTTCTTCTCTACGCTGCTAAGACCCACGGCGACAAGAAGGGTTTCGCTTCCCGAGACGTCATCAAGGTCATCACAGAGGAGAAGGAGGTGACGAAGAATGTCGGCGGCAAACAGCAGAAGGAGATGAAGAAGTGGAACTATTTCAAGCTCTCCGACTACGACTGGCTCTCTTACAACCAGTTCCTCGACTTTGCCAAGCATGTCGGTTCTGGATTGAGGCAGCTTGCTGGTGAGGACTCGCGAACGGAAAAGTTTTTCAACATCTACGGTCAAACATCGTACGTAGCTTGTTCAAATCGAGTTGCTGTGGCGAATGCTGACGCGGAGATTGTAGCCGTAACTGGATGCTTGTCGCCCAAGCTTGTGCCTTCAACGCCGTCCCCATCTCCACCGCCTACGACTCTCTCGGACCTGATGGCCTCAGACACGCCCTCAACGAGACTGAAGTCCGCGGCATGTTTACCAACGCCGACCTCTTCGGTACCCTCATCAAGGTCATTGAACAGACCAAGACTGTCGACCTGATTGTCTATGATGGCAAGGCCGATGAGAAGCTCCTTGAGCAGATCAAGGGCGTCAGGGAGGGTTTGAAAGTGATCCATTTGGATGAGGTTGTCGAGCTCGGTAAGAAGCAGCCTGTAGAGGCTATCCGAGCCAAGTCCGAGGATGTGTACTGCTGCATGTACACCAGTGGTTCCAGTAAGTCGCCCGATGTGTACTTGGGCGTTACTGACCCAGATTATAGCCGGTACCCCCAAGGGTGTGCTCCTTACGCACCTCAACGTCGTCTCGGCCGTTGCCTCCGTTTGGACTCTCTTGTACGAATACCTCACCCCCAAAGACTCTTACCTCGCCTTCCTCCCCCTCGCCCATATCCTGGAATTTGTCGTCGAAAACTCTTTCGTCTTTGCTGGTCTTCCCATCGGTTACGGTCGAGTCAAGACTTTGACTGACGCGAGTGTACGAGAGTGCAAGGGTGATATCGCCGAGTTCAAGCCTGTAAGTCTTGGGTATTGATAGGTGAATCCGCGCTGACGCGCATACAGTCCATCATGGTCGGTGTCCCCGCCGTCTGGGAGCTTATCCGAAAGGGTATTCTCTCCAAGGTCGACCAAGCCGGCGGCCTCAAGAAATCCATCTTCAACTTTGCTCTCAAGGCCAAGACTGCCGCCAACACTTACGGCATTCCATTCGTTGCTGGTCTGACGGACGCTATTGTCTTTGACGGCGTCCGTGCCCAGACTGGTGGCAACTTGAAGATCATGTTTAGCGGTGGCGGTGCTGTTTCCAAGAGCACTCAGCACTTCTTGAGTACTGCTCTCGTCACCATGATCCAGGGTGAGTACACCTTTAGGCTGCAAGAACTACACTGACTTTTTGTAGGTTACGGTCTTACCGAGTCTACTGCCATGGCCGCCATCCTCAACCCCGGATGGATGCAATTCGGCGCCGTCGGTGGACCCGTCCCCGCCGCCGAGGTCAAGCTCGTCGACGCCCCCGAAGCCGGCTACTTGTCCACCAACGACCCTCCCACCGGTGAAATCCTCGTCCGCGGCCCTGCCATCTTCAGGGGCTACTACAAGCGACCCGACCTCGACAAGGAGGCCTTCACCGAGGACGGTTGGTTCCGCACTGGTGATGTTGGTCAGTGGAACAAGGACGGTACTCTGTCCATCGTCGACCGACTGAAGAACCTCGTCAAGCTTTCTGGTGGTGAATACATTGCCATCGAGTACCTCGAGTCCATCTACAAGTCTTGCCCCTTGGTTGCGAACGGTGCCGTCATTGCCAACGGCGAGCACAACAAGCCCGCCATGGTCGTCGTCGGCCACCCCCAGAACCTGCCTGCTTTCGCCAAGAAGAATGGCTTGGGAGAGGGTGAGGACCTTGAGCACTTGTGCACGGATGAAAAGGTTGCGGAGGCCGCGCTCAAAGAGTTGAATGCGGTGGGTAAGAAGGCTGGGTTGAAGGGTATGGAGCTGTTGGAGGCGATCGTGCTTGTGGCGGATGAGTGGACACCTGAAAGTGGATTCTTGACAGCTGCCCAGAGTAAGTCCTGTCCTATGGTATGGAGTGTGGCTGACTTTGTGTCCAGAGCTGCAAAGAAAGACCATCGACAAGCACTACGAAGACAGAATCAAGGCTGTCTACCCTTAAGCTTGTCTTGACGCATTCATCTCCCCATTGCGATCTTTTGTCGCAATATGCCCGATACCAGATAATGAGAAGGAAAGAGACGTTTCGATAGTTGATGATTGGACATATATTTCACGGTAGCACAACTCGCCACATCGTGCGATTTGACAAAGCTCGCGTACAAACGACTTCTCCGTGATAGCTTCCAAAGCCGCTCATTTCATGTATTATGTATCTTCACACTCTATTCGGAGCGAAAGCCACCCAATCGAGCCAGTCACAAGTTCATTAGAGCATTGTCATTAAGGTATGTATTAGTTCTATGGCACGACTACGCCTGTGCCTTACTGCTCTCCTCTTGCTGCACACCACCCTCCCCCAGCACCTTTGTTTCTCCCCAGCTGACCGACCTCTGCTTCTTCACTTTTGGCTTGGGAGCCTTTCCCTCACTCCCTCCAGCCACAACCTCTTCCCCGATCCTGCTCTCTTCATCCCCCGGGACGATAGACTCGAAAATAGCCTCTCCTTCTTCCTCCAGCTTCCTAATCTCCTCATCGAGGTCGATGTCTGGTCCGGTACCAGTCCTGGGCCCGCCAATCATCTCATACCCCTCGCCTTCCACTTTATCCCACTGAATCTGATCCACATCCTTGAAGCCCTCAGGCATGCACAGATAGAACACAAGCACACTCAAACAAGCGCCTCCGACCAGGTCGATCAGGTAGTGGTGCGAGAGGTACATGGTAGCCCACCAGAGCACGCCGACATATGCCCAGTAGAAGGGTTTGAATCGGGGGAAGAAGTGGGAGAGGAAGAGGGCTTCCATGGTGGCTGTGCCGGCGTGGAGGGAGGGGAAGGCGCCAAAGACGAGAGGGGCGGAGCCAAAGGCGTTTGTGTAGCCGGAAGAGTGGAAGACCCGGTCGATACGCATCAGGCCACCGGGAGAGCCAGCCATCGAGTAGTCTGCGGGAGTAAGGCCGTGGATGATTTCATACCCTGCTTCCATGTTAGTGACAGTTGTGCTTAGATGAGGAGGGACATACAAGGGGCAGCGGCGGGGAAGAGAATTTGGCAAACGACTCCTAGAAGATTCATCCACCCGAACGCCAATCCAAAGTATTGGACCGCGCCTCTGGGGCCAACAGACCAGAGGACCAAAGCGACAACGAACGGGATAGTGAAATGCAGTACGCCATATGGCAGCCAGGCAATGACATCCAGTACGGCATTGGTATATCGCGTCTGCAAGTCGGAGATGTTCGCACCGTAGAGCACGGATTCGAGGGCAGGCAAGAGGGCGACGTGGATAGTCGGTCGACGGCCGGAGGGGATAAAGCGAGCACAGAAGAAAGTGATGAGCCATGCAAAGATGGGAGTCGCTGGCCAGACGAATTGGGAGGTGATTGGTAGCAGTATGGCCGTGCCATATACCAGTGGTATCGCGAATTTGAGCAAGAATGGCTCCATGATATAGAGACTATGCAGCGCACATGCCACCATGAACGCCAGAGGCAGGGTGTTGCCGAGGGTGAATTTATGTTGTTTCAGACGATTCAGCGTCTTGCGAGGGTCCCGAGAAAGGTCGAGGCGAAGCAGCGATGCCTGGATGGCGAGCAGGAACGGTTTCAGCACGGCGAGGGGGGAGAATGAGGGGCGCGCCTCTGTGGTGAGGGGTGCCAGTGTCCGCGCAAAGGAGGACATGTTGGAGGGGGGTTGGAGGGGGATTTGTTTTTCAGAAAGTTGTGAATGCAAGAGGACATGAGCGCGACCAAGAGGAACAACAACGCGCCGAGTGGGGGACGCCGCTTTCACGTGACCAAGTGTGGCACTCTAAGCGAGAGTTGAATGACGAGCCTGGATGGCTGGGTGAATGCTGGGCATCTGGGACCGGGCCATGCCATTCCGATCAATCGCAAAGAGTGTCGTCTAATCCATGTCGAGCTTCTAGCACCTGACTGCTCACACCAAGCAGGTCAGCCATGATGATGATGACACTCATTTACCAGCAGACATTCATCATCACCTCTAACGGCACGATGCTATCAGATGGCTTTACTTCTCCGTTTCACTCCGGTGTCATCTCATATCTTGTGTCTGCGTCCCTCAGCTATCATCTCATAGTGGCATGCGCTAGTGAATCATGTTGCAAATTGCCTTCCTTTCTCCTCTCACTCCTTTCTCACTCCCTTCTTCTGGTGTCGCTAGCACGGCAATCCTTCCATGGGCTCTTTCAATCATTCACAATGGATTCAGAATTGCATACACGCATTTTCGCCCTTGACAAACACTGTATAGCTACGCATACCGCGACTGCGCCCTTGTTCTGAAGAGACGAAACTTGTCGCCCCAACTCCATCTAACAAAGTCGACTTTCTCTTCAAATACGTACCGATCTCGATGTCTCTCCTCAAACACGCCATCCCATTGGGGATCATCTCCCTTCTTGGCCTGATCAGCTCTGTCAAAGCTCAGGACGATAGTGATACTAGCCAGTGGCCAGAATGGGTCACAAACGACTACGATTGTGGTACGTTGGATCTCTTTCACTGGCAAGATACGCTGACGATTGCGCCCAGTGATCGGATGTCTTTCCGGCTTCAACGACACCATCACCACTATACCTCAGTAAGCATTCCTCGTGCCGAACAAAGACAAGCGATTGAATAGAGATTGATTGTCAGGCCCGACCTTGAGTCTGCGGCTTACAGCTGTTCATCTTCGACCTGTACTGGCGACTCCACGGGAAATTACTATCAGACTCTATACTACATCCAAGTAAGGATCTATCTTTTTCTTCAATTCCCTTCCTGACCCTCGAAAGCTCTTCTATGCCACAGGCTCCATTTACGAGTGGTCTGACTCTGCCCCAGACGGCTACAAACACGCCAATTTCACCTCCTCCGAAGCTACTTCTGACGCCGCCGTTAGCAGCTCGTCTGATGATAGCGACGATGGAAGCGACAGTGCTGATAGCACAGATTCGTCTACAGACAGTGCCGATGCCTCTGCTTCTGCTACAGACTCTTCCAGCCCCGAAGGAAGTGGCTCGGCGGCTGGCGATTCTGGAGCGGCAGAGACTGGCGCTGTTGACGTTGCTGAGAGTTCCAGTACCGAAGCAAGCACGTCCTCCAAGCAGTCTTCTTCAGCTTCTGGATCAGCATCCACTAGTGCCAAGACTGGAACTTCTAAGGCATCTTCCACAGTTGCAGCAGACCAGAGTGAAGGTACCAGTAGCGCGGGCACGAAGGTCGGCACTGCTGTTGGGGTGCAGGGCGTCTTGGCAGTTGTTGTTGCCGTCGCTGCTGGGGGCCTCTGGACTGGTCTATAGTCGTATGTTTGAGCACAGATAGATCATGTATATATATACCGTTTGCCGGCCATGAAGTTTGTTGATGCCATCGATGTGTTGAAACTGCCTGACGGCGGTGTCTGCATTTATGATACAGCATAGCATCTGGCGAGAGATGTGACTATAGGAACATGATCATACAACCTGCGAAACATCACATAAAACATCTTCTCCCTGTTACTGCCCTTGCCCTTGCCATCCGCCGTGAAACCTCGGTCCCATCTGATACCCCATCTGCCCTTGAGGCTGGAATTGTCCGTAGCCTTGAGGTTGGGACTGCACCCCCATCCCCATATGCGGCATCCCCATCTGGCCCATTCCCATTTGCCTCATTCCATGCGTCACGCCCTGCATCTCCATCCCCGGAAACCCAGGCGCCATACCAAATTGCGCTTGAGGCTGTGGATTGTCGAATCCCGGCTGACCACCGTTAATTCCCATTCCCCGACCTCCTTGATGTTGAGGTTGAGGTTGGAACCCACCAAACTGCCCCCCCATGTTCCCACCCATCATGCCCATAGCCATATTGGCCATCATCATCTGCTCCATCGACATTCCCTGCATCATCATCGGATTTGGGAAACCCGGCTGCATCTGGGGCTGGACGTGGGCGGTGAATGATTGGTTGGGATGCACCATAGGGGTATTTGGCCCGCTTGAGCCCAAAGACATGCGATGCGGCGCAGGCGACGGTCTGTTACTGCTTCCCGTCGGTCCTGACCCGCCTCCCTGGCCAAGACGCGGCCCACGCCTTTGAGGCGACTTTGGCCGCAATTGGTCGATCTCTGGGTGGAACGGCAAGATTGCCTTTCCGTCTGACTGTGGGACAAGCGAAGGGTAGGTGGCGGGGTTGAATATTTGGACCGGCACTGATTCACCTGATGGTGTTGGCGCAGGGGAGGGAAAAGGCGAAAGACCGGCTGTGACCCACCCCTGGCGGGCGAGGTGAGGTTGAGAGAATATCTCAAGCCGACGGGTGCCGAGGCAGAAGTTTTCGATGAGGGTATACAAATATGGCGGGTACTTCGGTCCGTCGTCACCTACAGTCTATCAGCATGGTACAATCGAAAATTACAAGCTCACCTTCTGGCTCCTCCCAAATGATTACATCCGTGTCGACATTACAATGAGCGAAACGCACATCGACACTTCTCTTGATTGTTCCTCTAATCCCCATCAGGCAGTGTTCCTTCTGGCTTGCAAATAGTGCCCCTGAAGGCGCCCCTTCTCCATCTCTCCTCTTCCCATTCTTCCCCTTATTCGTCTTGACCCAAACGATATCCTCTGCTCGCCTGAAATTCCACTTTGCGAAACATTCTCTTCCCCTCTCGAGCCCTTCCTCATCTCCTCGCCCGACCCATAAGAAGACCACTGCAGTGTCGGCTGACAATTGGCGAATGGGAAGGTCTGCGACCTTATCCCAGTCGGAGACGTGGTTGATACGGATGACGTCGAATTTGCAGGTGGAGAAATTGTTGAGGAGAGAGTCGCGGGGAGAGTCTGAGGGTGATAGAGGGGCGTATAAGGGTGGGTGGGCGTTTGCGGCGACTAATTGGGTCTTCAGGTTCATCAACTTCTTCAGTGCTGGGTATCTGCAATCCAATACGGTCAGCTAAATCATACACATCATACACATCATACAATGCAATACTTACTCGTCACAGATCTCGCCTTCGCCGGCACCCATAATGAAATTACTCCCATACTCCCCAGTAGCATTATACCACTCGCAATAGTCATTTCGTATCGTCTCTTCCTCCTTGACATATCCCACTACGTTATCCTTGCTGGTCAGTCCATCTTCAGCTCCAAAGCGCGGGGCAGCTTGAGGGGCCCGCCCGCGGATGTGGACCTGCGCAGGAAAGGTCTCGCCTGGGGCTATGAGCTGCCGCCGTTCGGCCTGGCGGTCGAGGATGTTGTTGAGGAATGATCTATGGGCTACAAGGGCTGCCATTCTCTCATGGCCCCTCTGTCGGATTAGTCGCTGGATTCAAAGTCACGGATGCTCTGCGAATGGTGCTGGGCACGCTGATGCAACAGAGTGGAGGTCAGGTACCACCACGCGAATACTCCAAGTGTCAATTCTTGTCTTTTCTCCCATTCCATGTTGACTGACAAAAGACCCCACGTACCTCGGCTTACTGATGCATCTTCCAGCCATCTCTCGACCAACTTTCAAAACAACAAGTCCGTCAGCGGTCTGTATAACTGCAATGGGCGCAAAACGCCCCTCCAAATAGTGATTGGTCAGATGCATCCGGTGCGTCCATCCGTCATCCGTCCGTCGGAATGCAGGCCGGGAGCAGGAAGTCATGCACGCACGGTACACGGCACAATCTCAGGAATTTTCGGAAGTAACAGCGAATGCTCAATGGAATCACAAAGGTACTGCATCGAGAAGATGAAACGGTAGGTGACCTGATCATATCATGATCGCAAAGAGTGTATGCTTGTTATAGTAGACCTGTCGAGTCGGTCTTCTTCAAGCAGGAGTGAGAGTCTAAAGGACATCAAAATCAGCATTTGCTCCAAAAGTCACCATAGGGAGACAAGACTCGACTTACAAGCTCATGATCGACCTTGTCGGCACACTCGTGCTGGTCAATCTCCTTGCTGTCCTCCCACTTCCTCATGCAGATACCTGCCAGCCCGCATACGCATATCAGCACAAATGACTAACCAAATCCCGCACGAAGGTCTACGCACCGTTGGAAGTTGATATGAGGCCATCGGATGAGTAGCTCAAGAGCTGACCGGCAGGGTTCCAGCCGCAAGGCTGAAGAGAATACTTGCCACCATTGTGAGGCACGTAGCCGGCATCGATACAGAGGTCAGGGTAGGCTTGGAGGTTGATGACCTTGTTGTCGAAGGGAGCGCTGTTGGTAAAATTCCACATCTGGAGGTCGTAGCCTTCTGTGCCGTTGGTGACGCAGGAGCCGCTAGGTCCAATCAGAGAGTGCACGGACGGGGATGAGCGACTGCATTACTCACAAAGAGATGGCGGCACCGATGTGGGCATCGTTGGCCTTGACACAGAGGGTCAGGTCATCCCATTCTATCAGAAAGTCAGAAGCCATCCTATCGTCAACAGCCAGGAAACCAACGAAGCAGGCGACCAAACTTGACACTCTCTCGAGGAACGACAGCGGCGGAGGTGAGGCCCAAGATGGTGAGCAAGGCGAGAAGAGTAGAGGCAATCATGGTAGCTAAAGGGGATTATAGTGATGTAGTAAGAAACACTAGATGCTGGGGAAGATAGAAATCCTGTTGTTTGGCTGGTTATATACACAGCGTCTTGCCTGATCTGTGCCGAACGATTAGATATCCCGACGGGTCGACAACGCACAACAAGCACAACGGCGACAACACAGGGTTGCCTCTGACAGCCAGCAGTACAGCAACACAACAGCACTGAGCTTACCCTGCATCCCTGGGGCACGTCTTGGCTTTGCCTTCAACAAAATCGTCAGCGAGCATAACGAGCAGATATCCCCGTCGGCAACAGACCTGCGAAATACCTCCGGCTTGCCGAAAACGCGGCGCGGTCTTCAGCTCGACTCTGCTCGATACCGGCATTGGCGTATGATGCTTGCGTATACGAGGCTACGATGACGAACGCAGTAGTACATAGTCAGTAAGAACATTATTCTGAAGGTTGAAGGATAGCCACAGCCCGCCGGCAGGGAACTCTCCTTTGAGGTTTTTCCATGGCGCTCAGATCAACTGTATGGAAGGTAGATGGAAAGGATCACTTTCAACTCTGGTGACGATACTTGCACATGCAAGATATATTTCTTTATAGAAGCTTACGACCCATATCCAAGACCGGCTAGAGTCATCCCACGAAAGGCAACGCGAGAATCAATCGTGAGACGCGAAAAGTCATCAAGCCGGTGGCAAGATGTCAAGCAACATCATCGAGGACACAGCGGCAGGTATCGATACCGACGCCGACTCCGGCCTGACGTGCATAGATCCATCTGCATGGGACACCATCATCAGTAAGCTTATATATCTCATTGGACTCGCACTGTCCAAAAATGAGCTGACGACCATGCAGAAATCACAATGGCCTTGATGATAGCCGAGCTGGTCATCGGCATACTCTTTGCTTTTTTACGGATGAGCAGGCATAAAATGGATCACGAGCATGGGCTGACACATGCTTACAAGGGGTGGCTCGAAAGGAAGCTAAAACGGAAGGGTCATGTCAAGTGATGATGGCATCACGGGACGTATACATGATGTGTCGTGCCCACAGAGAGGATGTCAGTGATACAATGTAGCTTGCCCCATATGCTCATGCGTACAATGTGTCGCGCTACCTCTGCCACGTCTGTTTCCAATCCTTTTTTTTCACATCTCATCCTTTCACATCCCCTCCTCCTTTGATTATCATTGTTATGGACCAGCGCGCTCTTGCCACCTCAGAAGTAGATCCTACAGTACCAACCTATACTTGTACTTAAAATAGGTGTATAGCCATGTTGGAAAGTAGACCTGGCGTGACAAAGTCTGGTGATTCTATCTGCCTCGCCCGCTGGCTGCTCATCGTCATATGTAGTGAGTTCCAAATTCGTTGCCCCGCTTCCCCATCTCTTCAATCGTCGTATGGGCTGCGTACTCATCGTAATTACAAAGTCACTTTCGCCCTCATCCTATCCGCTCTAATCACTCTCATCATACTGTCTATCAGAGAGATATGGCTAATGAGACGATCGAAAGAAGGGTTGGTGAAGGAAAAGGATGAGAAGGAGAGGTTGATCGATATGGCGGAGGAGAGTGGGGTAAAGGTGAAGGCGGATTGAGATGATGGGTGGCGGGCGAGATTATGCATGCCTTTGAAGGGATACTCTATTAGCGTCTGATTTGGAGTGTGTGTAGAGATCCGGGAGGATTGAGAAGCATCATGAGACTGTGCACAATGCAATGATGGCGCACTGCGCTGCAGCCTCCTCGCCATCGCCGTACGCCTTATATATACAAGCAGCTCGCTCCTTACGTCAAGTCATATTTATCGTTGAATACCATTTGCCAACAACGTCATCCCGAAGCACCCTCGGCCTGCTTCGATATACCACTAGATCTCTCCTGGATCTCGAGGAAGAGTATCATACAGATCAATGGGAAGACATCCCGTCCCCGACTAGTGGTGGCAACAACCATTGGGCTACCTCTCCCTCAAAGTCAAAGTGAGCGCACAGCCAGGTTACAGGGTAGGTAGCTAGTAGTGGTGGTACTGAGCTCATATACTGTCATAGGGTACAGCAGTCATGCTCGGGTGAGACGGAGAAGAAGCCGAAAAGAGAAGGACAAGGGATCGAGCAGCAACTCCACAAAGAAGCTGTTGGGGACCCTGGGCATGCGGTCTCGGTTGAGCAAAGTTTGTAGTATAGTCTGTCACCAAAATTTTCTGCTTAATACTATGCATGGATAGGATTTTACTTGTCTTACAACATTCAAGAGGCAATGTTGTATTGCGGCTCGGCTTTGCTTGGCTCCCGCCGGATCTCGGGCCCCGAGCGCCCCGAGAGCGCCGAAGCCGAGGTCGACCGTCAACATATAAATGACTCCTCGCATTCCTCACTCCCTTTTGAACCCTCTATCCTCGTTCATCTCACCGCTCAGCAATGCTGTCCAAGGTTCCCCTTGTAGCCAACGTCGGCCTCACTCAGCACAACTACTCGCTCTATGCCCTGCCTGTAGGATACATCCTTGCGTGCGTGGCGGAGGCTACCTGTCGAATTCCGAGCTGATGCAGAGCTAGTATGGCACCTTTCTGGTTTGCTGTAGTCAACATCAGAACCAAAGTAGGATGGGAGGCTTTTGACACCGCCGTGAGTGCTAGTGTCTAACCACGCTCGAGGCCGGATTCCTCTGCCGTGACATCATGTGTTGTGACTGAATGCGCACACAGAACCCTAGACAGAGCTACAAGAAGCTTGACGCTGCCAAAATTGAGCCAAGGGTGAGCATCCCATCAGCGCTGTCAGCTACAAAGTCTGATACTACACCTATCAAAGCTGTATGGTCGTATCACTCGCGCTCTTGCAGCGAGCGACAACACCTTCACGTGCGCCCTCTTTCCTATCCCCACACTGCCAAATACTTGCCGGCTACTCAAAGCTGACCAGCCTTTTCACAGCAATATTGGATATTTTGCAGCCTCCGTTGTTGCAGGCAATCTCGCTCACCTCAGTGCACGGACCCTCAACACTTGTGCTGCGGTATGGATTGTCTCTCGGATTGCCTATAATTACGCCTACATCGTCACCGAGCAGAGTATGTCTCTTCCGCCATGAATCATGCTCCAGCGACCGGCAGCTGACTGAGAGGCTGATATAGCCAAATTTGGGAGGATCCGATCGTTCATCTTCACGGTCAGCGTTGGGGCGTGTTTCACGTTGATCGTCAAGGCTGCCAATAAGCTCAGCAGCGCTCCCTGGTAGATACTTGATTCCCGCAAACGCTATTGCTGTCCATATCCCAACCATCTCTGATGTGACTATACATGCAACCCGTCGTCAAAGCACATACTTGTTGGATGTCGTCAGCAAGAAGTCTACAACAACACGATGGTGGTGCTATAATAATGATGGAACTCGATAAGAAGAATCCTCCTCGATAGCACCACTATGTCCAGCTGATCGTTGATGAGTATGGTTCTATTCTTATCATCTTGAAGAGAACGACGGCTACTGTCCGGACCCTGGTCCGGCACGACAACCACAAAGATCGCTTAAGCCAGTCGGTCGGCCGCCGGCCAAGCGTCATCGATCGACGAAAAGTCAAACCTATCAACAACTTCTTATCTTTCTCTATCCGCTCTCCCTGTATTCTCTGCAAACACCGAGAAGCCAGCCATGTCTTCCCAACTCCCCTTCGTCTCCCAAGCTGGTCTCACGCAGCACAACTACTCTCTCTATGCCCTGCCTGTTGGGTTTCTCCTCGCGTAAGTCGTCCTCGGCCCCTTCCCCTGCAGCCTCACTTCCTCAGTCTAGGATGATTGCTGATATCTTGTCGATAGCATGGGGCCTTTCTGGTATGCCGTTGGGCTGATCAGGAAGCATGCGGGAAAGAAGGCGTTCGACCTTGCTGTAAGTTCTTCCTCAAAGCTGCATCGTATTCATAGTGGAGTTGGAGTGAAAGAGATGCTGATAAGGTCAATGGGCTGAGTAGAACCCCCGAGAGAGCTACAAGAAGCTAGGAGAGGCCAAGATCGATCCCAAGGTACGTGCTTCAGTATCTACCAGGAGTTTGGTCGATGATTAGATCTACCGCCGTATCACCCGAGCGACTGCAGCGAGCGACAACACCTTCTCGTACGCTTCCCCATCCACAGTAACCATGTTATGCTCACCTGGAATCCAACAGCAACTTGGGCTACTTTTCAGCTTCCGTCGTAGCCGGCAACCTCGCCCACCTCAGCGCCCGCACGCTCAACACTTGTGTCGCCGTCTGGATCATCTCCCGAATCGCCTTTGCTTTGTTGTATATCAACACCGAAAATCGTAAACTCTCCTCATACAGCCTACATAAGAGCTTGTGAGCTGATAGTGTTGGTTTGTAGCCAAGAACGCGAGATATCGATCTATCGTTTTCACCGTCGGCGTTCTGGCTTGTACTACCCTCATCATCAAGGCTGCCAACAAGCTCAGCAGCGTCCCTTGGTGATTACTTGTGAATATAGATGTTGAGTCAGAGACATAAATGTAAGCATGCATGTACCGGACGTTTTCGAACCTGATGACAGAGCACGAGTGACATGATAGTCGAGTACATGGTATTTAGAACAACAGTGAATTTACAGTGATACAGTCATGATGTTGTTGATGTTGTTGATGCTGGGTATAGGCCTTCCTCCCCCACGTAGCTCTATGATCCACATGGTACCCTGGGACAAGCTCTCTGGGGCACTGTGGCAGCAAATCGCCGACCCGAGCTACGGCTGATGGTGCCCATTGACAGCCGCTGGTCCATCCGGCGCACCCGTCTCACCGGCCCCTCCTCCATTCGGAACGTTCTGCGCACTTTCTGGCCCTTCTTCCCCACCGCCATTTGTCTCCTGAGGCGGCTTGATAGGCTGATGGCGCCGTTCGGGTAAAGGGACCTCGGGGAAATTCTCTGAAACGGCTTCGTGCAGTTGTCGACGGAAACTCTGTCATTTTGTCAGCTTTCTGGCTTTTTGACGAACGTGCACATTAAGGGGTCCGCGTACCTCCAACCCGAGGACTCTGCCTAAAGCATACTGATTTTCGCCCGTAGCTCTTGTGATAGCTTGCTTTGTATACGTGTGAGGGTTTTTATGTCGGTCTACATGCCTGCGCGAGGTCAGCTTAGATATGTGATGTAGAGATACCACTTACTCAACGATTTGATGAGGAACCGAGTCTGTCATCTGAGACGAAAGCTGCGAGAGGTTCACTAGAGCCTTATTAATGTTCTCTCTACACAAAGCCAGAGTGTATCAGCGTATTTCTTTCCGGCAATAATAGGACACCACTTACAGATATCCCGGCACAGCATCTTCTCTATTTTCTCTCACGTACCCTGCACTGATCTCCATCTCATAAAGATCCTGTGCCAGCTGCAAGAGCTGATTCTCCACAGCCGTGCGAATGGCCTCTTGATCCGGGACGGCAGGCGCGGCAGGAGGCGCAGGGGTGGAGGCGCCGGGCTGGAGAAGGGCTTCTGAGGGAGTAGGGGCTGGGGAGGGGAGGTGGTTTGGGTTGAGGGACATATTTGGTGGAATTCGGAGAAATGTAAGAGGAGAGTGATTTGAGGCAGATAGCCGAAGTTGCGAATGAATGAAAGTGGAGGCATCTTCATCTGTCATCACATCTCACTCTTCTCTATCATCTCAAAAATATGTCTCCCCAGCCCTCTCGCCCAGATACACCCTCAACGTCCTCTACTCCAGACATCACAGACGACTTCTCACGGCTAGACCTCCACGCTCCCCGAGAACAGAGCTCGAGCTCGGCTTCATCACCAATCGCCGCCGGCAAGGACAAGGTCGATGAGGATGAGGAGCTAGAACGGTTTAGGGCACAGTGGCGGCAAGAGCTGCTGGCTAAAAAGTCTGAAGGAGGAGTTGGAGGAGATACTGGAGAGAGTTTGCCCAAGAAAGAGAATAAAGAGGTTGAAGATGTGGAGGTAGACGGGAAGGGCAAGGGCAAGCAAGTATCACCAAAAGTGACCAAAGCTCCCCAATTATCAACCTTCCAAGACGAAGACGATGAGGCGCCGACTATGGGCCCTCTAGCGCATACGGTTGCTCCTACAGTAAACCGGACGCACGCTTCAAAAAAGACCTTGACGCACAGGGAGCGCGCTATCCAGACGTATGCCAAAGCTGTGGAGAGCGAGCAGAGTGGGCAGCTCAATGAGGCATTGATACATTACCGCAGGGCTTTCAGGATGGAAGGTGAGTTTTCATTAGATTGGCAAATGTGACATGCTGATCAAACCACAGATGAGGTTGACAAGCTGTATACCAAGGCCATGGCCAAAGCCTCGGCAGACCAAATTGCTGAGAAGGCAGCGATGAGTGAAGACCTCATGTCAGAGATCCCCAACTCTTCAGACATCATCTCTCCATCTGCCCCTGCCGAGGAGCCGTACTCTTTCCAGAGACATATCCAGCTCGACGCCGACTATGACAAATCATCCGCCTTGCCCAGCATCGCGACCTCCACCGCGCACAAATCGCCGCTATCAACTATCCTGAGGTCACTTCCGATCAATTCCTGGGAGCTTGCCTTTCTTCCAGAGAATGATAAACTCCCTATCCCCATCGCCAATCTCCCTGCCGAGCTCTTCGACACAATCTTTGCACATCTCGATGTGATCTGGATAGAGCGCTTCGCGTCGACTTGTTGGCGGGCGCGCTATCTGACAAACGGATCGATGGCTTGGAGAAGGGTGTGCGAGAGGATCTACCGGCCGCCTGCAATGGTGCCGCCGGGAGGGGCTGTAAAGACACAAGACCTCGTGAAAAAACATGGCGGAGAATGGCGGACGACGTTGATTGAAGAAGAACGAGTTCGGATGGACGGCTGTTACATCGCAGTCTGTCATTACATGTGCGTATCTTCTCAAAAACATTCAATGTATTCCACTGACAGTGTTTTAGTCGACCAGGTGCTGGTGAAGAATGGGTGACCATCACCCACCTGATCACATACCATCGCTACCTCCGCTTCTACCCTGACGGCTCCGTCATCTCCTACCTTACCACAGACCATCCCTCCGACGTGGTACCTGTCCTCAAGCCTTCCCTTCGCGGCAAAGGTCTCCACTTTGGCCGTTGGCGTCTCCTCCGCTCCGATGCTCCCTTGGACCCGGAGAACGATCCCATCTGGGTCCCCTCAAAACCACATGAGAAGAAGCCGGCTCGCATCTTGGTCTCTGGGCTACTAGAGCCAGGCATTAAGGAGGCGAAGTACGAGTTTGAGATGGAGTTGGCATTGAGAGAGACTAGTAGGGGGAGATGGAACAAGCTGGACCTCTTGGAATATCGATCAGTCAATCTGGGAACAGATGAAACGTTGGGGCTGGGGTTGAGGAACCAAAAGCCATTCTACTTTTCCAAGTGAGTCTCCTTCTCAATGGAAGGTAACGAAACTGACTTGAAGCAGGGTTCGCTCATACAACCCGCCATTCTAAAGCGTACCAAAGCGCATAGACTGTTTTGCATTGCATACACATAAACATATTGCATGGCCTGTTGAATGTACTAATACATCATCGTCTGATGCTCCTAGACTGTCTCAGATACCCCCCGTACACCACTTCTCAAACTGATCATCTTCATCCACGGGGACGTCAACTGTTGAAACATCAGGACAGCCAATATCGGGCGCGAATGAGACTCACCTTCCAGTCCGGGTACAGCTCTCTGATCAACCTCATTCTCTTTCCTCACGGCACTGCCCCTCTTGTCTGTGTCCACAGTCTCCATACTGACTTCTTCGTAGAGGTTCGGTTGTGTTTTGTGCTGATCCGAGGGCTCCATCATACGAGATCGCTTTGCTGCCGGCCGTCCAAAGCCACCGATGTTGAGTGGAGCGAGCCGTTTGACTGGCTGCACAATAGTCGTAGGTTGGGAGACTGGCATCTCGTCCCTTGGTAGCCCACCATCTCTGCTATCGTCTCCCATGGTAACAGGAGTGCAGGGTTTGCTGTGCAACTCAATCGACATCTTTCTTATGTCCAAATCCCAATCCCCGTCCGTTCGGCTCTGCCTGAAAGGCGACTGTTTCCTCGTCGGGTGATGGGATTCTTCCTCGTCTTCTTCGTACTTTTGAAGCAGATCGTCGACATTGAAATCTTGTACTGGATGAGGGGAGCTTGAGAGAGTGAGAGGAGTTTTGGTCTGAGCTTTCACAGTAGACTGCATGGGAACGGTAGATTCCTTGAGAGGCTTTGGTCCGAAATCCGGGCTGTCGGTCAGTGTCTCATATCCATCGGAGAAGATGCCCCGGGTAGGCATGAGCTCGCGCATGTCTTCATCGTGCTTGCGTTTCTTTGATGAGATTGGTGGGGCTGGGCTCTGCGAACGAGTTGGGTTTTTCAAAGAGACTTGAGAGTTCTGCTGACTTGCAAGGAGGTGGGAGTCTCTAACTCGGGCTGGTGGTGCAGTACGCTTTTTGGACTTGCTGGACTTGCCGGACTTGGATTTGTCAAATAATCTCGACTTGACCGGTCCGGTTTCTTCGTCGGAGGGGGCGAGGTCGTCGAGGTTGTAGGTGTCGGGAGTTTCGTCATCAGAGTGTGCCATGAAGAGTGGTTCTTGATGGTGTCTAGCGTGATTGACTACCCAAAAGATCAGTTGCGGATGCACAGCGCACGTCACAGTACATGCCTTTGGATTCCAACGTATCTTCAATTTCTGAATCCAAGGGCGCTGTGCTCTTCACTTTGGATCCTTGCTCGTCCACAGATTCCCACCGTCGAACTATCCTGGATTCCCTGACACGGCTGATCGCTGTGCTCGGCTTCAGAGCTTGCTTGTTGGGAGCGTTACTAACGTCCTTCGGCTTGCCTAAGCCGCTGATAGACTGTGCACGGTTTCGAGGGGTAGGTTGAGCGGTCTGCGAAGCTTTCTGAGAGCTGACAATTGGAGAAGGTGATCTGCTCATAGAGCGATCTTGTTGTACCCGTTGAACGGCTACGATAAGTCAGTAATGGCCATGCAAAGTAGACAGTCCGTCACTACCTTTTGCAACAGCCGTAGGTCTTGAATCTATTTGAAGGGCATCGATGGTTTCCTGGGTTTCTTTCATCCTGTCCGTCGCTGTCCACATATCAGCCGTCTTTTCTCCTATGTTTGGTATACATAGTAGGAAACGAGCTTACCAGTCTTGACGTTCCCATTTCCAGCTCCCTTGACTGTAGCCTTGTTCTTCTTCCTCGAGGGGACCCCAACTTTGCAGCAGTTGTGCTGGCAGCTTTGTTTGTCTTTGCAGTTGTGATGACAAGGGACGTTTCCATTGGGAAGACGCTCCTCTGGGTCAGGGCTCGGTTCCACCACCGTACGTTGTGGGCTCTCTTTTCAGGAATCAGTATCGCTTGATGGGTGACATTTGCTGGGGGCTCACGAGCTAGCGCCTCGTTCTGCTCCTCCATGTCTTCTGGGTAGACCGAGCTGTCGAGATGGGTCTCATACTCCTCCACTGTGCAACAACCGGCCACTTCGTCCACTGCTTGCGTCAGATCGAACTTTGCTCAACAGCAACTCACCTGCAACGACTGCAACAACTTTCTCACAGCGCCGATCCAAGGTTACACGCAGCACAAAACTGGTATCCTTGTTATCCAATCTGCGAAGCTCCATACGTCGGTAGCCGATGAAGGAGCCATCTTGTCGCAGGAACAGAGCTGAGAGATTGTACAGCGTAATGAAACCACCTCGTTTGCCTTTGGATTCGGTGGACAGGACCTTGCTTTTGGGGCGGATGTTGATTCGAAGATTGAGGACGTTTGATGCACCATCATAGTCCATTCCTTCCTCTCTGTAGCATCATTTAGTACTGGTTTACCATTAGAAGACTCACTCAATGGAGACGTGAAACCGAGGCATCCTGCGGGCTTGATCATGTATACCGCGGGCGAACTCGCTGTTTCTGTTGAGCCACAATTGGATTTTTTCGGTCCCGACGTCGAGGAGTTCCTCAAACGCTGCGATTGGCAGTCGTGAGGTTGAGTACCATTTGCAATGACAAACCTACTTGAAATACCGTTCTGACCCAACACACAAATGGATTTTGGACCTTAGAGGTTGATCAGAAAGACGAAAAGCCACGACAGTCAGAGTCACCCACCGATACTAGGAATCTGTCGGAATATGGTAGGTGAGTCCTCCCATGCCTTACCGGAAATGGTCCTATGAAGCTCCAAGGCTGAGCGGGCGGCCGTCCCATACTCTCGATTCAGAGCAAACTGGACGATGGCTGAGCACGCAGTATAGCGTCAGCTTTGGCAGAATCTGAAAGTCACCTCACTCACCTTTGGCAATGCGAGGAGCATGGTTGTAAATGGCCATCAATGTCTGAATTGGGGGAGATATCTCTGTCTTCTTGACTATATCATCCAATATGATGTTACCGAATGTGACCTGAAGCATAAGAAACACTTTGTCGCTGTGATAGATACGTCAGCGCACGGGGCATGCCGATGTTCTGCGACCCTCACGCATAATTTTGAACCTTCTCCCCGAGAGGAAAGCGTATCTCCTGA